TGCTTCCTTTCAGAATCCTCACCTTTACACACCAGACAAGGCCATTTCTCCCTCCAGAGTGATGTGCTAGGTCCCAGTCTTCTCTCTTGGCTAGCCAGGGCTTGCCACACTCACTTGTATTTACACATCTCATCTTTCCCTGTCAAGATTAGAGGCACTTGAGAAGTGCTGTGGGAGGGGATCAGATATAGAAGGATTCCCACCCCCAGATACTGAGCTACTAGCTCTTCTCCAGTTTTGATAATTGGCACTATTTTTTGATGGGGTTAACCTACTGGCATATAAGGCAAGTCATAATTCTGTGGGAATGGGTGAAGACTCTTCAGAAGAAAGGGGTAATCTCCCAAGCCAATCCCCCTGAGAAAATGCAGAGACTGGGACATGAAATTAACCCTTGGAAGGCAGTTTGACTTACATGGGAACCAGATCTCTCTCTCTCTTTATGGCCCAGCGGTTCTCAACTTGGGGTACACGTCCAAAACACCTACAGAACTTTTCAAGAAAATGCCAGGTTCTTGCTCCAAATTAACCCAGGATCGGCCTGGACATGTGTGTTGTGACAAAGACTTACCACTTGATTCTGATAGGCAGTCCTGGTTAGGAACTCATGTCCAGTTAGGGAATTGGAGAAGTTCTTCAAAAGAGCTAGCAGAGCTTTCTCTGAGAACCTCATTCTTTCGCAAGTCTGGGATCATGAGAAGGAAAAAGGTCTAGAGCTGGGCTTGACAACTTGTTCTGGGGCCTTCCCACTTTCCACTGGGGCGGCCTATGTTCCCCATCCTTTCCTCATGGTGCATCCCTGGCTCTTACGACCCAGTAGTGCCCCAGGCATTGCTGTGCCCACTCCTTCTGGGCATTCGCTTCAAGGCAATGAACTCAGCTGGCTGGGAAGTGAGAGCAAATCTCATTAGGACAATTCTCAGTGATGTATAAATGCCAGCCTGCATAGGGGATTTGGTTGTTGATAGCTCCTTAAATTGCAAGCCATGTTGTGGAGTAAAAAATCAGTCATTGTTAGATGATATTTATTTTTACAGGGGTGGATTGGAGTATTTTCTCTGTGCATTGTTAGCCAGGCCTGCTTAGGTGACCTTGATCTAGGAGTCTGAGATTTTCAGAAAAGCACAATTAGTTATCATTCTTTTCCTCTTAGGCCTCCAGATAGGTCTCTCCATCCCTGCTTCCTGTCCTCCTTACCACCCTTCTGCATCTCTTAGGCAGTGCTCAGCTTGCACCTGCTGTCTCCTCTCTCCTTTTTCTCCTTCCTTCTTTCCTTTCTTACCAATTGAGTGCCTACCACATTGTGTGCATTTGTGGACAAAAAGTAGGAGGGAGGCATCCCTGCCCTCAGAAAGCTCTAAGACTACTGGTGAGACATGGGGTACCCAGACACTTTCAGTGTGATGAGAGAGGGCTGTCAATACGCAGCAGCTCCACATGTCCCAGGAGAGACACATGACCTGGGCATGGAGGGGCAGGAAAGGAGGCCCAGGAGGAGTGTTGGCCTGACCTGAGTCTTGAGGCATCGGTGAGGATGAGCCAGGTCAACATGGTGGAGGAAGGCATTCTGACAAAGTGGCACAGCCTGCGCAGAGTCCCGACTTAGCAACCCAGAACCCCAATAGCTCAATGTGGCCGGAGCTCACACAGGGTATGAGGACACAGGGCAGGGGCCATAGTAGCGAGGATTTTGTACATCCCATTTGGTACTCTGGTTTTATTTTTTACATTCTTATCTCACATTGAGCTTTCCTAATTAAAAGAAAATGATGTACATCAGGCTCATGACTTACAAATCAAGTGGCAGATCTGATAGAGAGCAACTGCGTCCTGGACAACCCCTCCTTCTCACCCATGTCTTACTCACGGAGGACAACTAGTTTTTCTTTCTTTTAGCTCTTCCTTCCTGTCATCACCTCTGCATCCCTGGAATCAAATGCTTCTATCTCTAATTCCTAATCAAATCTAGACATTATCTAGTGAATTTCTATGATGATAAAGATTAAAGAGCACCCTCCACTGCTACCTCTCCTGCATTTCTATTCTGAAGGCATTGGGGAGCTAGCAATGATGTTAAACAGAGAAGTCTCAGGATGATATCTCTGTTTCAGAAAGATCAATTCAGAAGCATTGTGGGGGGTGGGTTGAAAAAGTGGAAATAGATGTAGGGTAAACTAGATGGTAGATGGCATAGGTTTGCCCTAAGGCAGTAGTTCTGTTAACCAAGGAAAAGGAGAACATGTCAGAGAGAACTGGAAACTGAACGAGTAGGACTGGAGAATGAGTGCTCTGAGGATTTACTTTGCCAAACATAACCAGGAAACAGTGTTTTCACAAGGACCCTAAATCTGGAGAGTTGTGAATCAGCATCTCAATCTGAAAAAAAAAAAAAAGTCTTGAATGCAATATCCAAAGAATAGAATTTTAAAAATTAAAAGAAACATCCATTACCAGTTTGGGCTTAGGATTTAATTCTAGGGGTGCAAGGTGGTTAATTAAAAGGTAAGCCTATTTTCACTTCAATTTCATGCCCCTTTCCACCTCTGAAATACTGAAATCTTCCTTACCTTTGCAAAGAGTATCTATTCTAAAGCAAGAGCTAACGTTATATATCAGTGTGAAACACTGGAGTTGCCCAGAAAATCTAAAGAAAATCAAAGTGCTTTAAAAGCCCACTATCATCATTATTTCTATTGCAACTTTTACACACATGTATTATTTTTGTTTTCCAGAGACAGTAGTTTATAAAACAAAGCAAATAAAACCCTACAGAAGGGTTTGTATTCTGGTCTTGGAGAACAGCAAGGAAGGGGGCTCTCAGGAGTCTGTGGCACTTTGCAGCCTGGTTTAAGGATAAGGACCCCAGGGACAGAGTGCTGGAGGCAGCTTCTCTAGGTCAGTCAGATCCCAGGTAATGCAGAGGCAAAAAATTGGGGTTTCTGAACACCTCCATTATGCCCTAGTGAATTTGTGCAGGGGAACGTGTACTTGTAAAGAAATCTGTTGAACTGGTGAGAGGAAGCCCCAGCAGGAGAATTTGGTGGCCAAAATTGTCCCCAGCATTAGAGGGTTTCATTTTCATCTCCTGAAGGAATGGCTGCTGTGACTCCTGGCTGGCTTCTAGGGGCGCCCTGATCTTCCTAGCTCTCCTTGCCAGCTTACGTGTAGTTCTTTTCTTCTTGAGGCAAGAAAAGATTGGTAGCATTTTTTCAGACATATTGAAGCAAGACACAACATTTTAAAAATAACAATAATTTTTTACAGACACATATATGGCATAGATGTAGTTATTTCTATATTTAATGTTATTTTGTTTCTAAAGTAATGTATTTGTTATTTATCCTCCTACTCACTACCTGACTCTGTGAAGGAGTAGGCATGTTTTACACTAAAAGACAGATGCTATAGAAACATTAAGATAAAGAAAAAGAACACAGTCCATGAACTGAATTTCAGGAGAGAAGAGAAGGAATTCAGAGATAGTTGCTAGAGCGGAGGACAAAAACAAAACAAACAAAACAAAACAAAAACTCTGAAATTCTTTGGAAGCAAGTAAAAAAAGAAATTTTCTATTATATGATAAAATAAAATTTACTAGTTTCTCAAGAGAGAGACATGTCAGAAAAGCTTAAAGAGCATACAATTTTTTAAGCCAAAAAAAAAAAAAAAAAGTGTTGACTGATGTCTGGTTACAGGTTGTTAGACCACAGAGATCTCCAGACACACAGACAGAAGCTTCTGTCCTAGTGTCTCTTGGTTCCCTATGTCAAAAGCGCTGCCTCTCACTGGACAGGTGAGTGTGCTGCTGCAGTAGCGTCTGGAGAGATGCTTACAGGTTCCAGCTGATTAGCAGAGCAGGGATAATTGCTGTTCCTTATGCTAACAAGGGATCACATTCTCCCCAGCTTAAATCATCAGCTTTCCTGCTGGCCCCAGGGGACTCTCAACTCCTTTCTTGGGTGCACTATTAGGAGATGTGACCTTGGACAACAGAGCTCCTAAAAGTCAAAAGGCTGCTTGCATGTGTTGAAATTATTTGTGCAATATCATGTGGGAATTCTCTATATGTGAACACAGTTTTCTAGAAAGAAGGTATACAGTTTTTATTATGTTTTCAAGTGAGCTCATAACTTCAAAAAGATAAGGATAATTAATGTAGGATCCTAGCACTACATCTGTGATATTGCATAAGTTTCACCATGAAGTAGCATACATTGAAGTAGGGTGGTCTTCATTCCACCTTGACCCTTGGATTGTACCTTCTACAACTACTGCTCAGGATAGGCAGGGACCCTTCCTCATAGTGTCTCTAGCCCCTTTTCTGCTCTTTTCTGTAATGTCAAATCATAATAAAACCACAGTGAATATATCTATAGTGCTTTATGATTTATAAAGTTCATGCAAATATATCATTAATGTAAGCTTCACAATGACTCTGGGAAGTAAGCACTGTAGCCTCCATTTTACAGATGAGAAACCTCAAGTTCAGAGATTTTTCCATGAATGGTTCAAGATCTCACTAGAGGTAGTAGATTTTGGGCCTGTGAGGGAACCTGAATTCTGTGATATGTTTACAGTGTATTCTTCCCACTGGGAGCCATGATGAGTTTGGAAAAGGTGGACTTTCCACATAGCTGAAACCATCCCAAGCCACTAATACCTCTTCCTGTTGGCTCACTTGATGCTCTGAAATATGTTCTCAGCTGCTCAGTATATACATCATAAATTTCTGCTTATAAGCATCTATAGAAAAGGCTGTTTTGCTAGATGGTAGCTCAAGACATTAGCATATGTGACGTCTATTAAACCTTGGATACATAGACTCCTGTCCTGGTCACAGAGTTACCCACAATGGCAAGTACAATGGGGGTGGGGTGATGCTGGTGGGAAGAGGAGCTTTCCTTTATTGTGGATGGACTTTAGCAGCTTTCAATCATTTGCACAAAAGGATTTGACTCTTTGCCCATCAGAAAGCACTTCTTCTGAATTTCCCCACATAGGAGGCCTATGAGACACATGAAGATATCATCAGGCTGGTGGGGGAGCTGGTGAGCGTCATTGGGGCTGTGATCATCCTGCTCCTAGAGGTGAGGTGCAGGTGGGGTCCAAGCTAAGCCCATCCCATCTAAGGCCCAGACTGAACCGCAGTCCACATTGTCTTTTTGTTTTGCTGTCCTTTCCCCAGATCCCAGACATCTTCAGGGTCGGTGCCTCTCGCTATTTTGGACAGACAATTCTTGGGGGGCCATTCCATGTCATCATGTGAGTATCCCCTCATTCCAGCCCCCTGCCTTTCCTTGCCAGAATCTTTTCCTGTCTCCAGTTCACTCTCTGATATCTAGGCCTCAGGTCACTCTCACTCCAAGGACTTCTCTCCAGTGGACTTGTAGGTGTAACTGTATGTGTGTTTTAGGTGTAAAGACAAAGCCTGAGTGTGTGGGTACCACCCCAGTCACCACTGTGCTGTAGGGACCTAGAATAGCTCCAGCTTGTCTCTCACTCCCTGCTGTCTGCTCCTCCCAGCATCACCTATGCCTCCCTAGTGCTGGTGATCATGGCGATGCGGCTCACCAACACCAATGGGGAGGTGGTGCCCATGTCCTTTGCCCTGGTGCTGGGCTGGTGCAGTGTCATGTATTTTGCTCGAGGATTCCAGATGCTGGGTCCCTTCACCATCATGATCCAGAAGGTCAGTGCTTTCCCAAAGCTTCCTCTGCCTCAGGCACAAGACCTTCCCAGACAGAGGGATGGAGGTAGAGTGGGGCTGGTGGAACTATGGGAGCCTCCTGATCTGTTAGCGTTAGCTCCTCAGAGGCAGTGGAAAAGGAATCATCCCACCCTTTCTCCCTTCTCTGTTTCCTGCAGATGATTTTTGGAGACCTAATGCGTTTCTGCTGGCTGATGGCTGTGGTTATCTTGGGATTTGCCTCTGGTAAGGCACCATTCCCTCTTCTACTAGAGCAGCAGATCCAGTTCTCCAGAGAGTTCACTCTCATTCTTGCTCTCAGTTCCCATTTGCGCTTCATTTTGCTTTTTTTTTTTTTTTTCCTGTTGGAAGGTGAGTCTAAAAGCACACCCATATTTATAGACCAGGGGCCACTCAGGTTGGCCTAGGAAGGTAAAGTCATGTGTCCAGGGCCAATAACATTCATGTTCACTAACTGCCTTGCAAGATCTTTAAAGGAGAGACAGAAAAAGACTTTTGGTGAGAATAGGGCATTAAACAGGAAAGACTGGCCAGTCATGGATCTCAGAAAACCATGTGAACAAACAGAGATAGTGCCATGCTTAACTCTCCCATGTTTACAATTCAGAAGAGGAAACATAAAGCACTCAACAACATATAACTTGCTTTTTTTCTATATGCAGTCATTTAAACTTGAGAAAAAATATGAAAGAATTAGAAACAGGAGATGCAGAAAAACAGTTGGACAGTTTGAAGAATGACAGAGAAAACAAAAAAGAAGAGTTGTGAAGAGAGACTGTGAGAACAGGGACACACAGGCACCCAGTCAAGGAACAGCCAGTGAAAGTGCCAGGGAGCAAAAGAAAGGAACAGCACAGCAGGAAAACACAGGCAGGTGGAGAGAGCTAGAGGGAAGGAGAGGGTGGGTGGAGGAACAGAAGAGAGTCCTTAGGGAGGGGCAAAAAGAGGAAGGCCCAGGTCTGAAAGCAAAAGGCCAGTAGCTCAAATTCAGTCCTCAGTGTCTGCAACTGATCATCTATTAGATAAGAAGAGTCACTAGATGAGCTTTAAGAGTCCCTCCCATCTCTAAAAAGCAATGACTCAGTGCAGAGGACTCCATTACTATCCTCAGGAATTTCCCGTTCAATGGGGATTCCCACAAAACAACAGACCAACAAAAACAACAACAAAACAACAACAACAGCAACAACAACAAAACCCCCACCCAAATCTGAAATGTGAAAGAGTAAAACGATGGCTTTCTGCCTGTTTGGAGTTTTCCACCCCAAGCCCTTATGTACCCTTTCCTCCCACTCCTTGGCCATCTACATCTATACATAACACAGATTACAAAATGAGGTGATGGTCGCAGAGTGGCTTTCTGTAGATGTCCTCTATCCAGAGCTCTCCAAATGATCACTTCTTGGTCATTGCACTTGCTTTTCTCTTAAATAAATAAGGAGGCAATGCTTTGTCATAGACCTTGTTTCTGCTCTCAGAATCACCTTGTGCTTCAGCTCCTTATGCAGAGAGGAGGCTTTCAAGCAGTCTAGTGCTGTCCTGAAGTTCCATTACGCTCACTGCTATCCAGTAGGCTCCACCCTGAGCAGAAATCCGTTTCCTATGTTGGTTCAGGTTCACTCAGGGAATGTCAGAGTGATGGAGGGTTATCTAGAGGCCATCAAGATAAAAAGGGGCTCTTCTTTTAGCCTGTTCATGTGTTCTGTTGTTTAAAAATTGTTGAAGATTCCATGCATTCTTATAATAACTTGCCTTTTAAGTATTTGGTTTTCTAAAATGTAAAAACCAGTTAGGTGACCTATTATCCATTATCCATACAAACACACACACTGCACACACATACAATTTTGTTGTTGTTAAATGACTATTACCATGACCATTACCCAGTGTGGTGAACTTCATCATAGGACATCTTAGGGTTAGACAGTTCCACAGGAAACTACATTTATTAGTATGTAATTATCTGTGCAAGTGTGCAAGTGTATTTAGATATACATATATATCAGAGATAGAGTAAGTGCTAACCATGTCCATGCTTATTGTGATAACTCCATTATCCAATCTCCATGTCTCTTCCTGGGCGGAGCAGCGTTCTATATCATTTTCCAGACAGAGGACCCAACCAGTTTGGGGCAGTTCTATGACTACCCCATGGCACTGTTCAGCACCTTCGAGCTTTTTCTCACTGTTATTGATGCTCCTGCCAACTACGATGTGGACTTGCCCTTCATGTTCAGCGTTGTCAACTTCGCCTTCGCCATCTTTGCCACACTGCTCATGCTCAACCTGTTCATCGCCATGATGGGTGACACCCACTGGAGGGTGGCCCAGGAGCGGGATGAGCTCTGGAGGGCCCAGGTAAGTTTATTTGTGTTAGTCTTGCTAAGAGGCAGGGGATGGAGAGAAAAATCAAAGTGGAAAATGTTATGGTGAATCATTCTTAAAAAAGTCACAGAAAAACTCAATGAGGCTGTCACCTCAACAGAGGTTTGCATAAAACTGAGGTACATGTGGATAAATGGAAGGGACAGAAGGAGGATTAAATGGAGGATAGTGGCAAGAAGTGGGGTTGTTGCTTACAGGTGAAAAGTAGACCTAGGGGTGATCCTGGAGTCCAGTAGGAACTAGAAGTGACCTTGTTCTGGTATATTCCAGTTTTCAATTTGGACCTTATCTTCTATTTGCTTCTATAAATCCCTGTTTCTCTATGAACTTTTCTTTATATCATCATAGACCGACAAATATTAGAATTGGAAGTGACCCTCATTGGCCCTCAAGTTGACCTCCTACTTAACATAATAATCATTTATTGATCAGAAGGTCATTCAATATCTTCTTTAATACTGATTAGGACTTTATTATCTTTTAAATTCAGGTAGAGGTTGGGAGGAAGGGAGTTTTCCCATATTTTTAAAGATTTTGTTATTAGACATTCATGTTGCATTGAGCTAAAATCTATCTTCTTAAAATTTCATTCTTTGGCCCCAGTCTTTCCCTCTCATATAACACAGAACACATTCTTCCATATAAGCACCATTCAAATATTTGAATATAGCCATCATTTTTCCCTTAGACTTTTCATTCATTTAATGATGATCATTTAGACCCTGCTACATGTTGGCAAACACCTAGGAGCTAGGGACATGAGCATTAACACAACAGATACCATCTATGCCCTCACGGAGCTGACGGTTTAGTTGGAAAGACAGGCATGAAGTGAATGACTTCACAAAAAGCTGTAAAATTACAGCAGCAAAAGTGCCATAGAGAATGTAAGGTGCTAGGAAGAGGATGCAACAGAGGAACTGAACTGGGAGGTGAAGACATGCTTTCCTGAGGGAGCAACATTTAAGATGAGAACCCAAAGGTGAGCAAGAACTAGCTAGTTAAAAGGAAGGAGGGAAAAGGATGCAGGTCAAGGTTAGTAGCAATTAGGACTCTTGGCTACAGGGACAGAAAATCAAACTCAAACAGACTTTTAGATTTTTAAACAGGGGGAGGAGGATGTGATAGTCTTCGTAAATGAGAAGTTTAGAGAATTAAACTAACTTTAGAAGTATCTGGCCAGAATGCAGATCCACATCTTATACATTACATCCATTCCTCTGTTCGACTCTCTTTTGACCTCTCTTCTAAGGCAAGCTCTCCCATGGTGTTTGTGAGATCACTTCTAGAAGCTCCAAACTCCAAAAAGAATGAGGACCTGCATTGCAATAAGCAGCTCTAAGGGCCCCACTCATGTTGTGTTCTGTGAGGCTCCTGGTGCCAGGCAAAACTGTAGGCTTTAAAAGAACATCTTTCCCTCTGCCAATTCCTTCCATGTTCCATCTCACGGGAACACATTTGGGTCACAGGCACATCATTGAATCTAAGGAAAGACCAAGGACTAGATAGTGGAGGTGTTGGTGATGGTGGTGGAGGGGAGGTTTGGGGGAAAATAAATTAATTAAGCGGAACTGTGTGAAGCCCAGTCCACTCAAACCAATGCACTGAAAGTGATGAGGGAGCAATTCCCTAAATGAAAACTGGGTGCTGTTACCTGAGGAAGGACGGAGCTGCATGATGGCTCAGGAAGAACAATAAACATTCCTTTCAAGGCAAAGAAGAACAGCTATCCAGGGTAAGAGCACAGAATGACTGGAAGTCCTGGGCTAGGAGGAAACTTGGTGCAATTAACAAACTGAAAGAAGTGTGGAGTAATGAGGAAGACAGGGAGTAGAAAAACGTGAGGTGAATAATCTGCTATTTTGAAGATTGCCACTCCTTCACTTAGGAAGCCTTCCTGGTTCTGATCTATTCTGATTGGACCCTTTTGTTCATGCTCTAATAGATCATGGTTCCTTTGAGACTAGAATAGTCCCCAATATGATTGGAGCAATGCGGTACAAAGCGGGACCTTGACTTTGCTTACTTGGACATAATGCTAAGGGCATGTAAAGCAGAGTCAGGTTGTTTAGTAAATATACAAATGGCCCTTATTAAGCCTGTGATCAGCTGGCACACCCACATCTTTGTTCTATGACTCACTTATCTAAGCTTCCTAAATGTAAATGTAGGACCTTAGATTTGGTTTACTTAAATTTCTTGTTAATGATTTTACACCAGCATTCCAACCTAGTGATATCATTTTATATTGCTTCTGTTGCCCCACTTATTACATATCCCTCCCAGTTTTGTGTCACAGGTATATTTGATAAGCTTGTTTTCCACATTTCATCTAAGTAATTAATGAGGGTTGAGCAAAGGACAGAACGTGTGGTGGACTTGCTACCAGAAATTTCCCTGCCAACTTTGCAGTCATTAATCAACCCGTTTCCTTCTTAAGATATGGATATTTAATTTGCTGAAAATTCCCTGAACAGTAACAGTATCAATTCATCCCCAAGATCACAGAGATTCTATTTAATCATTTTATTTAAATCAAGATAATTGGTCCATGGCTTTTATATGAGAAACAAATTGAGATTAGTTTGGAGTGACTCATTTTCCATGAGTCTGAATAGTAACGTAAGGGTCACTATTTTATTCAAAACACTCACAAAAAATCCTCTCTCATTTCTTGATGAGTGAAACTGGTTTCACGGTGCCTGGCACAGGCTGTGGGGTGAATAGGTGGCTGTTCTCACCACTGACCTCTAGTGTCCTATCTCACTGGTTGCCTTTGGTTCCCTTTGTCAGTGGCCTCCGTGCCTCTTTGAACCTCATGGCTCTTTCAGAGTTTTTCCTGTACCTCTTGCCTCCTTCCAGGTCGTGGCCACCACAGTGATGCTGGAACGGAAGCTGCCTCGCTGCCTGTGGCCTCGCTCCGGGATCTGTGGGTGCGAGTACGGGCTAGGGGACCGCTGGTTCCTGCGGTGAGTGACTGTGTGCACATGCAAAACTGCAGATATGTATAAGGCCACGGAAGCAAGGGTGACCGACAGGTGTCCTGGAGCCTGCATTAGCTTGTCTAGGGGAGGGGGCTGGAGCTGAAGTGGAGGGGTAGGAAGAATGCTGTGTGTACCTCAGGGCAGCCACGTGTAAAAGGTTGTGTGCATGTGTCCATGCTCAGACGTCAGCATGGGTTACCAGACTTGCTGTCACCTTGTTCTGAGCTGACCTTCATTTTCAGTGTACTTTTGGCTTGGATCTAACTTCCTCCTTCATATTCTGCCCTCATCTCCTGGCGTGATCCTCCTCTCTCCTCAAATTTACTTCCTGAATTGCATCTCATCATCCTCGTGACACACTTATCACACACACACACACACACACACACACACACCCATGTATTAGTAACACACACACACACACACACACACACACACCCCTGTGTGCGTCCTACCACCCTGCAAGCCCTGATTGCTCAGCCTCGATTATCTCTATCCCAGGTTAGCCTGCCCTCCAATGACCTCCCTTCACCTGATCCGAGATACTCTTCCTGTTTCAACTCTGCTCCCTTCTTTCTCCTTCCCTCTTGACCCTGCTTTCTAAATGTTCGCCTCTACTTGTCCCCTGCCCATCTCTCCCCACCTGGACTGAGTCCTTTCCCCTTTCCCCTCATCAGGGTTGAGAACCACAATGATCAGAATCCTCTGCGAGTGCTTCGCTATGTGGAAGCGTTCAAGAACTCAGACAAGGAGGATGGCCAGGAGCATCCATCTGAGAAACAGCCCTCTGGGGCTGAGAGTGGGACTCTAGCCAGAGCCTCCCTGGCTCTTCCAAATTCCTCCCTATCCCGGACCACGTCCCAGAGCAGCAGTCACCGAGGCTGGGAGATCCTTCGTCAAAACACCCTGGGGCACTTGGATCTTGGACTGAACCTTAGTGAGGGGGATGGGGAGGAGGTCTACCATTTCTGATTAGCATCGCTGTCACTCTTGACCTTACTCCAGGTTGGCCTGGGGACGGGGTCAGAGACGGAGACCTCTGCCTATGCAAGTGTCTAACTTCTGTGCCTGTTAATCATGGGAGGGTGGGACAGAACAATCCCGAAAGGGCCATATCTCACATTTCACATCAGAATTTTGGCAATGGGCAATGGTCATCTATTGTCTCACATATTTTCTGGGTTCTTGGAAGTCCCACATCTCAGGAAAAAGGAGGTTGGCAATTAAAGATATGAGGTAGGGATGCTAGATTAATGTCAGGACCATTTCTCTTCTGCCCCACGCAGACCCTAGAAAGTAGTAAGCTGTGAGGCTTTTCTGGCTTCCCAGGGCTTATGTGGGAAGAGCCAGGCATGGCATAGAGGTTGTTGCCCTTCTTTTTTCCCCAACCTCCTGTAGGTCTCTCTCCCCACTTAGCAACCAAACTTTTTTTGCAATAAAATAGTCTCCTTATTCTTGCCTTCTTTAATTTTTTATTGGGGCACAATACATGTCACATAAAATTTACCATATTATCCATTTTTAGATGTGCCACTCAGTGGCATTAAGTACATTCACATTGTTGCGTAACCATCACCATTATTCATTTATGGAACATTTTCATCATTCCGAACTGCAACTCTAATCCCCATTGAACAATAACTCTCCAGCTATCTCTCTGCCCCGGCCCCTGATAACCAATATTCTGCTTTCTTTCTATGAATTAACTATTCTAGGCATCTTATGTAAGTGGGATTCTGCAATCTTAGTCCAAAATCTGTGACAGTTTATTTATTTATTCATCTACCAATGGACATTTGAGTTTTTCTACCTTTTGGCTGTTGTGAATAATGCTGCTATGAATATGGTATACAAATATCTGTTCAAGTTTCTACTTTCAAATACTATGGGCATACACCTAAAAATGGAATTGCTAGACAATTCTTATGTTTAATTTTATAAGGAACTGCCATACTGGTTTTCACAATAGCTTTCACCATTTTACATTCCCTTCTAATGGGTGTGAAGTGGTTTCACATTGTAGTTTTGATATGCCTTTCCCTAATGACTAATGATACTGAACATGTTTTTATGCACCTATTTATTGGACATTTATATATCTTCTTTGGAGAAATGTCTTTTCGGTTTATTTGTCCATTTTCGAATTAGGTTTTTGTTGTTGTTGAATTGTCTTATCTTTGCTCTTTGAGGCTCACAGTCTGAAGTGTTTGCATCCTGGTGTATGTATGGTAAATTAGGCCTATATTTGAATAGCCTAATCCTTTTCCAGGACCCTCCTGCTCTGTCCCTAGCAGTTAATCATCCTCCTGCCGGGAGGCAACAAGCTCCTGCTTGGTCTCCTGACATAGCCATCCTCCATTCCCATCCCCTTTTCCCCACACTGAGTTGTGAAAGGAACAGCAACAATAGAGGAAGGGTCATCCCTCTCCAGGAGGGAAATTAGGAATCATGTGTCCAGGGCACCCATTATAGGTGCTCATGGGCAGCCTCTCTTGTGTCTCCAGCACTATACTTCTAGTCCCAGCCCCTATCATCCCCCTTAGCAAAAAGCCATGTCAGCTTTTCAGAGAACTGTGGTCTGGGATAACAAAGAAGTAAGTGGTATTTGTGAAACCACAGACAGTTAATTCAGATACACCAGCTCAGGACTGAGTGCCCAACAGTAAGGGATCACACAATGTGTATACACATGCCCACACACACTGGGACACAGTGGTGGCAGGGTGTGTAAAACTGCTCAGTCAACATCATTCTTCTTTATTCTCTTCATAGTGGAAGCGCTTTAAAACTCTGCTTCATAGTCCTTTTTATTGAGACAGGGTCTTGCTCTGTTGCCCGTGCTGAAGTACAGTGGTGTGATCACTGCTCACTGCAGCCTTGACCTTCTGGGCTCAAGTAATCTTCCCCCCTTAGCCTCCCAAGTAGGTGGCACTACAGGTGTGCACCACCACACCCAACTAATTTTTGTATTTTTTTTAGAGATGGGGTTTTGCCATGTTGCCCATGGCTAGTCTTGAACTCCTGGTCTCAAGCAATCCATCTGCCTCGACCTCCCAAACTGCTGGGATTACAGGCATGAGCCACTGCACTAGCCCTGTAATCCTTTTAATACTTGCTTAACTTGTCTATAAACTTACATGTCTTTTGATTTGAGCCCTTGGCCTACCCCCAGATATTGTCCTTTGTCCTGGCCTGTGTACCTGGTATGTAATTAAAATTGCTTACTGCCTAGGTTTTTCACTAAAATAAGAAATACTAAGAGTTAACATTATGAATTAATGAATGTAATTAAAACTACTAGGTACATACAATGTGTATTAAAGAGGTAGGATGTGTTTTTTTTTTTTTTTTTTTGGAGAAGCAAATGTTAAAATAAGTCACGGGAGTGTGGTTCTTTTTTAAGATAAAGTGTTTTTTTCTAGTTTAGAGGATTTTTAAGGATTGTTTCAAGTTAATAGAAAGGACAAAACTGAAGGTTTAAGCAAGTTGTAGAAGGTTTCTGGAAGGTTGATCTTGTAAAAGGAATTTTGTGTGTGGTCAAGTTTGGCTAAAATTTTAAGGGGATTATTTAGATTTTATACAAATTGAACATTAATATAAATAGCACATTGATGCAGGGTCAGAATCTGAGCACTGTGTGAGGATAACAGGATTTTCTTGGAATATTGATCTGTTCTTTAACACAAATTTGTAAAGTTTATAAAAGCCTCATGGAAATCTTACCTTACAGTCAAACTAATTAAAATTTGATTGATTTGCTTATAATATTAAAGCTTTAGAATTAATAATACAGTAATACAAAAATAAAATTTGGTTTTCTCTTTTAAATAAGATTTTTGTATAATATTAAGAGATAGTAAAAGATTTTCATTTGCCCTTTGAATAAACTGCCAAAAAAAATAAAGAAGGAGAGAGACAGATTCAGTTGGCTTCATGCTGTCTCTATTAGGTCCTGTTTTTCAGAAAACTGAGCTCTTCTTTGTCAAGGAGTAAAGATTTCTGCTTTTTTTTTTTAATTGGTGAGTTATCACTTTAGCTAAATGACCTACTTTATAATGACCTATAATCTCATTTTGTGATATCAAGTGCTTTAAACTTTTAATGTTTGACTAACTTTCAAGATTAAATTCTAAATGTAGTCTTTTAACCTCAAACTGACTTTTAAAGGTCCAAGAGAGATATATTTGGCTTATTTGATATGTTAAAATCATACAGGAGGCATCTCCAAATATAAAATGGTGTGTAACTTTCTTTGAGATATATTTATATAAATGTGCTATTGTTATGTTTTCCAAAATTGTATAATATTCTTATAATTTTAATACATCTTGGTATATGTTATCAGTAATAATTATAATTATGTTAAATTATTATGTGCCACAGAAATAGCCAGATTTCCTTGTCAATTGTATCTTTGACCGTGGATATCTTTTGTCATTCACAATTATTATTTTACTTTGTTCCTTTTCAAAAAGTTGTTTATAATCAGCTATAGGACTCTGATGATGTATTAGTTCATTCCCATGCTGCTATGAAGAGATACTTGAGACTGGGTAAATTATAAAGAAAAGTTTAATTGACTCACAGTTCCACATGACTGGGGAGGCCTCAGGAAACTTAGAATCACTGCAGAATTGCCTCTTCACAGGGTGCCAGGAGAGAGAATAAGTGCCAAGCAATGTGGGTAGCCCCTTATAAAACCATCTGCTGCCCATGCTGGAGTACAGTGGGCAACTCACTGAATGAGTGAGTTCCCATGAGAACTCACTAGCATGAGAACAACATGGGGGGAACTGCCCCCCATGATTCAATTACCTTTCACTGGGTCCCTCCCACCACATGTGGGGGTTATGGGATTACAATTCAAGATGAGATTTGGGTGGGGACACAAAGCCAGACCATATCAGATGGATACTTTTCAATGCAGTTTTCTGACAGCTTTGGAGATTGTGCCATTAAAATAGAGAAAAAAAATCTTCCAGGACACTCATGGAGATCTGATGTATTCATGAGGATTGTTGACCCAGTATCAAATAGAACAGAAGTTAATTGCATGAACTGGTTTAATAGAAGACTAAAATAATTTTTGTGTGAACTTTTTGTCTGAAACATTGCTGATTCTTTTCATTTTTGGGGTTGTTTACAGCTTTTAACAATTGAGTAAAATATGCTCTTGTGAGCAAAATTTAAAGCATATTTCTTTCTCTCTACCTGATTTCTCCAGAATTTGAAAACTGTCTTTGAGTATTCTTAATTTATAACAATATAGTTATTTGTATGAGTTCAATAAGAATCTGCTTTCTTTTGTAACAGGACACAATTGGAGACTATTATTTTACTAAAGCTTTGACTAGAATGAAATATTTTAAGATATAAACAAAACAAACTGTTTTAAGGAATTGCCATTGACTTATAGAATCAATAAAAGATCCTTAAAAAAACTGGCCTTGTACCTTGCCTACACAATTCTTTTACAGGGTTCCCAACCTGTGATAAGTAAAGAATGTTACTTTCTGGCAGGCTCGGGAACCCCAGGTTATCTTGGGATATGAAGAGAGGCATTCACCCAATTCATACAGATATCTGCAGGCACAAATAAATTCTTGACTGGGCTTGGGGCCTTTAAAAAGTCTAAACTGAGATTCCTTAAATAAAAGAGTTTCTAGCAAAGTCAATTTAAAAAGGAAATAATTATTCTTGCTGCACTTTATACAAAGAATCGGGCCAAGTACAATACAACTAAAGCTTTTTTACAAATAAATTAGTCCTACTATGATATGTCTTTGATAAAAATGGAGGACTAAGGAGATAAAAATTATGTTTTTTTTTTTTAAAAAAAAACGTATAAAACACCTATTCTTAGACTCCATCTTATCATTGTTTCTCAGTTTTATTCTTTGTTAAAATGTATTTGGACTGAATCCTAAGTTCTTTCCTAGCTACAAGTCTCCAAATTACTGTTCATTTTTTTCCCTTTTTCTTTCATTTGTTTCCATTTTTTTCTCATGTGGAATCTAGAAATTAAAACTAGAAATTTTAATTTAAAATTAAATTAAAATTAAAACTGTGCTTTTCTGAAAGTTCTGCCAAGTGAAACTAGAAACTTAAACTTTGGGAAAAGTAACAGCAAATTATTTATATATATAAACCACTTTTGTGCCTGCCTACTCATGCATGGACTTCAGAGTAATATAGCCTAAATCAGTTTTCCAGGATTACTTTCCCCTTTTGTTGTCATTATCTTTCCTCCTTTTTTACTGGTTTTCTTTCTCTCTTCTTTCCCCTATTTTTCTCTGTGGAACATGAGACTTCACAACCTGCTAAGAATGATCCTTTCTAAAATGAGGGACCTAACCATCTAGAAATAAACTGTCCTAGTGACAAGGGATCAGACCAAACCTGAGATCAGAGACTCACTTTCTTCTATAATGCTTTCCCTGAAAGATTTGGAAGAACAGGGTTGGGGGGATGTGAAAGGAAAATAATATCTTGGGACCTCAAACTCACTATGTGAAAGGGAAAAGTTAAGTTTAGAAACTGAGTCAAACTTTTGGAAGTTACCTTTCTTCTAAAAAGTTTGGAAACTGCCGGTCTTTTTGTTCCTAAACAGATAGCCTCAAGACAGAAGGCCACATTATCTCCCAAGATGGCCTCCCTCACCCTGACATTACAAATTAACAGTTTATCTTCACAGGTACAGGAGAAGAGAGGAATAGAAATCGTCCCTCCACCTACCCTGGGATGAAGGCATATTTGACTTCTTCCTCTAATTTACTTTGTCTTATGTAAAGTGCAGATTTATTGAGCATGACACAAATACATAAATGACTGTTCCTCTGCCCCCTGCTTCTCACATGCAACATGTGGATTCAGTGAGCACTAATCAAAGCCTCAAAAGAATGTAACCACTTGTGTGATTTGTCTACTCTTCCCTACTTTTCTTTAACTTCCCTCCTTCCCCTCCTGCCCACTTTTACTCCTTTAAATACTGAAGCCTTCAAAATGCACTTTGGATCTTACTGTGGCCCATGTCTCTCTTCCCGAGGGTGTCCTCAACCTTACAAAATAAACCTCTAAATTGATTGAGACTTATCTCAGACATCTTTTTCTCAGTTTACAACTTCCACTCCTGTGCAAAGCTAAACTCCCATCTGTATTCTAGATCCATTCCTCACTCTCTCTTTTCACACCCCGTGTCCATCACTGTCTCCTCTGACCCCTCTCACGTGTGTATCTTCAACTTCTCCTTCCCTAGTAGCCCTGTCAGCAAATAAGCATGCTCTATTCTTTTGCATTTTCAAAGAAACTGCAAACTCCCTCCCTCAACCCCACCTCTCCTTTCAGCTACTGCTGTATCTTTTTTACTCCCTGTTCAGGGTCAAACTTCTTAAGAGTAAACCCCATTGTCTACTGGCCTCCTACTGATACCTCAGCCCACTGTGATTTGATCCTGTCTTCTCCGTGATACTGATACCTGTAGTTAAATCCACTGAACAGTCTTAGTTTTGCTTGAACACTCTGTGGCATTCAGATTACAGTTAACTATGCGCCACTTCTCAACACATCTTGTGCCACATATCGCAGCTGCTCTGGCTGCTTCTCCTCCACTGATCCCTTAAAGATTGGTTCACAGGCTGTTTTCCTCACCACCTGGGTAGTCCTGCCTAATTTAATAGATTACCATGCACAAGCTCAGAATCCCTAGCTCCTTATCTTCACCTTAGATCTGTCTCCGGAGCTCCAGGCATGAACAGCTTGGACGCCTATTGATTGGAGCACTCTACCTGGATGTTTTACAAACACCTCAAACTCAACATGTCCCAAACTGAACAGCTTTTCTTCCTCACCAAACCTGCTCCTCCACCAGTGTTCCCAAC